AKAAGGCCCGGAAGGTAGATGTACTTTTTTCTTTTCATTTTTTTTCATTTTTTCCTCTCTGCAAGTCTTTCGTTGAGCTGTCAGTAGCTGACATGGTGATWGGTGTGTCAAGACATGTATGAAACTCTGCTTTCCTGACTGGCTGAAATTACAGAAATATAGAGCATTAGTGAAAGTTATTGTAACACCAGAAGATTCTTAATGTGGAGGCCATTAATCAGCAGATTGGCTCTAGGGAACCAAAGGTTTCTAGGGGAAGTGTCAAGAGCAGCCCAGCATTATACATTCTATTAAAGATGCTTCAGGGCTTATATATTCTATTTAAAAAGTGTTGTTTACCATAGCTACCTCTTCTCCATTTGTTACTTTTAAGGAGCAGCACTTTATGTGGACAGCTGTAGACTTATCTGCATGTAGCAGAGAAAACAATTATTTTGGCAACCTCACATAACTGTATGTGGCTATAAAAACATGTAGTAAAAGCAATTTGTGGCAGTTTTTGTCACAACCTTCTTTTTCTCCCTTTTTAACCTTTTCTTTTGTTCCCTGTGAGAAGCACTCCCAGAGGAACTGTGATGCTGCAGTTGTTTGCAATTTGCTTTCATAGCAGGAGAACTGCGGGAACTGCAGCTTTGTCCAGATTTCCTTAAGTGAGTTGACTCTGTACAAGCATATCCAGAAAGAAGCGGGGAAAATAGTTAGCCTGATTTCTTGATCAAACATCTGCACGATTCCCTGATAATGGTAGCCAGGATTAGTTCTGAACAAAGCGACTCTTAATGAAACCCTTCTCCCATGAGCAAAATCCCACTTAGTAAGCGGAGAAGTCCTGCGAGTGGGTACCCCAAGCTCCTGTCCATTTAATGTTACTTTGCTTTTAAAGCAYGCTTTTGTTGAAAGACTTCAAAGTGATTCACAATCATTTACTTAATCTGTTGTTTATGTAGGAAATACCACTTCCTTGTTAAAATTTATGAAATATAGCAGAATGCAGGAGCATTGYTGTGGTCCTTTGGTTGTTATGACTGGGTCAAGTGTCTGTATTCAGCTAGCCGTCACTGAAGGAGTTGATTTGTGGTCTCAGCATGTATTCACTTCCTGTCCATTTGGTGATTTATGGTGTTCAAGACCTATGTTGAAATATGTGAAATCATCAGCATGAAAATTAGCTTTTTGTTTTCTCTCTAATACGAGGTTAGAGTAAGGCAAGTGTTTACTAACTGAGTGGTCATCGGCTACTGCAGGTCTTCCCAGGTGCTTCCCTTCCCGATAACAGAAGTCATGTATCATCAGCATAAAATCCGCAGAGCGGAGGGAAAAAGGACAGAGCTTAAGAATCATCACACGAATATTGCCACCTTAAGAAAAGAGTTGATAAGTTGTGGAGTTTGCAAGTAGATTTARTGGTTCTGTTCCAGTTCAGGTTCAGGGCTCCTGAGTTATTTGCAGCCAGAAGTTTCATTGCCCTGGCGTGCACCCGCAGCACCAAACAGTGCTGGGCTTCCCCACCTAACACCAGCCCCTGTGGCACAGCACATGTGGGCGTGTGCAGGGATGTGTGCTGGGGTCAGCTGCACCACCCTGCTCCTGGGATAACCGCCCCTGTGAGAAACAGCTCGTTTGCTCTGGCACAGCCCTCAAAGGTTAGCTGTGGTTCTAGTGCTTCTCAGCACGGGCTGGCCTGCATAGCTCAGAGGAAATCTCTAGTCTAATAATCCCTGTGTTACTCTACACAGCTTAGAGAGGTGTGCCCTTAGTTGGCTTGACTGTGCTAATGATATGTTTTAAAATAAGTGTTACTAACAGTGAGCAACCTAGTCTTCACTTGTTCACTGTTAGTTTCTTCTTGCCTTAAGCATAGAATTATGATTTTTAAGTTCACTTAATTTACCTTTTCTGCTTCTGAGAAATATTCTACCTCTCTTTATCTGTCCATTCAGTTTTCTACCTTTCCTTCCCCTCGTTTTGCTCATCTTTGCATCCTGCAAAACACTAAGTTGACAGCTCTGCAGAAGAGGCTCAAAGACTCAAATATTTGCTGCTGTTTTCTTAGAAAGGGAATTAAGATTCCTAGGCTTGGGGATATATATATATATATGTATATGTATATGTATATATATATATTTTGACTGTTGTCAGAATGTCCTTACCTTCAAGTTTCCAGTATTGCTTTTAGGATAGCACAGGTACATACTACTACTTTGCATTTTATTTCCTTCCAAAACTGCCCTGAAAAACATGATACTCAGAGATGCAATTTGATCAAAAATGAAGGTAACTTGTTGAAATCCACCTGTAAGTTCATAATTGACAGGAGAGCTCTTGGCACATCAGCGTCAGTTGCTGTGTGCATCATGAACTACCTAATAAGAGGGGAAAACGTGACTGCCGTAGGTTTGGAGGRGAATGTGATGGCAGATGAATCGCTACCAGCATGATTAAAAAGGTGGMTGTGTAAAGGTGCAAGAAATTACCCATGAGGAAGATTTGCTGTGTAAAGAAAGATCATGCTCAGCTCACTGTATAATTTCTTCTCAGTGGATAAGACGTTTTTGTTTCATGCAAATTACGATGCAAAGTATTGATTGAAACTCAGGCATAGAGCTGTGTCAGATGTGTAAATGCCAGTGCAGTATTACTGGCGGCATGAATGACTGCTTGTTTTATAGACTCAAAATAATTTGCTTTGTATTTGTGCAACTGTCCTGCAAATCAGGAACTTGGGCACTGAGGTATCCAGGTTACATGAAATGCTGTGTTGCTACATGGTCTTTCAGACTCAGCAGCCCTAGTTGTTCGTTCACTGGGCAGTGGAGTATTTTGGGGAGGAGGAGGGAGGGAATGGGAGGTGGATCRTTTTAAGGAAAGATGGAAGGATACCAGGAGTTGTGGGGAGTGACTGTTAGCTTGCAGCTCATAGACTCGAGGTCCATGTATAAGCACACAAGCTTTAATACCATCCGGATTGATATTTAGAAGACATTGTGAAGTTTTCCTGGATAGTCTTATTACTGTTTGCAGATGTTCACATCTTATTACTTAGCCCCATTATTGACGGCTCTTAGATGAGAGGCCAAAGTTGAAATATGAGTAGACAGTTTGGATTTTCTTTTTTTGTTGCCTTTTTTCTTTCTCTCTTTTTGTGAAGGATGTGGGTGTGATGAAAGCAATGAAGATTTTGCCTTTGTTTCTATTATAGATGGAAYGTCTGGCATGATTATAAGTATCTACTTTATTTGAAATATAACTTGAAATTCCTTTTATTGTTTGATTAACAGCGTTGCCTTAATATCTTCCAAGTTTTTTGCTAAGCCTTGTGCTTTATAATGTGACATTCCCAGGAAACAGGAGGCATCATCTGTCAGAAGACAGGAAACATGCAGTGATTAAATGCATTTTCTTGTTTTCTGTGAAACAGTGCCCAGTTTCTCCCTCTTAATGTGGGCAGATGGAATTTTCAAGGGCTTTTGTTGTWATACTAAAAAGATTTAGACCTTGTTTTTACATACAATATTTGCGTACATATGCACAAACTCTTTAAAAGCCCTCAGGTCATTTAGTTTTAGTTGTAAAATTATGCATGTCTTTATCAAATGAAAAATCAAGCTAGAAAAAACAGCTTGATTGTTTTCATGAAAAGGAATAACAAGATTTTTRCCTTTGGAAATGAATGCCACTTATAGCTTGCAATGGTAGTAAAAGGCCACTTTTTTTTTTCTTGAAAAATATTATCAGAAATAGCAGCAGTAAAAATAATGAGTTAATCACAATATTGATTTATTAGAACTTTAGATCACAGAAATGGTGGTTATCCTGACACACAAATGGATTCTCTAGTTAATAATATAAATAGATGTCTAAGCCTGAATGCTACCCTCCGGGTGCTTCCCAGTKGATTGCCACAGTTAAGGCATGTAGCTGCTGAAGACTTTGCTTCTGTATTATTTATGAAACTAAGCACGAGCTTCTGGTTCTTGACATTTTCCAGTGCAGCTGAGAATATGAGGAAACTGTTGGTGGGCTGTAGTCATATCTGTGGGTTGCCTCGAGCCCCACGTAGGCTTCATTCATTAGTTATTACTGGTTGAGAAGTGGCTGGAAAGATATAGACACATCTCCAGGCAGAAACTGTAAGGAGAAACCATGCTGCAAATGAGTGAAATGAGACATTTGCGTTCTACTTTGCAGTGTAAGTGGCTTTATTAGTTACTGAGAAAAACAAAGGCATCCTATACCTCGCACTTGCTCGGGAAAATAATTTGAGAACTTAACCTTTTTATTAATATTCAGAATATATGCCAGAAGGATACTATATGGGATACTCCATTTGGGCTTTGATTAGTTCTGAATTACTTTTTACTTAACAAATAATCTATGCATGTGAATATGCCTCTATGCATATCTGTCACATCTATGCATGTGAATTTTTTCCCAGTTTCTGTATATTGCCATGTTCTATTTTTTCCCTTTTCTAGTTTATATTTTTTTATTTATATATATTTTTTGCCACATTTTATATAATGTGGATATGGCTAGTGGAGAGTATAAATTAGAATTTGAAGCTATTGGGCAAAGGGCCAGGGAAAACATCTTTTCAGCTGAAAACACAAGGCAAACAATGAAATAAGTGGTTATTTTTCATTCTACTGAGAGGCAGTTATATATCGTATCTATCCTCATAGTGCTGAAATAGATTAAGGAACAACAGAAAAAAAAAACATGCTTGGCAGAGTAGCAAAGAAATATGCCTCTTACCAGTATATGCAACGGCAAAATTAAGATAAAATGCAGTTGATTACTCACCTTGATATTTTTGTTTTGTTTATTCTGCTTTATGTGCTAGTTTTGTCCAGTAAATTAATTGCTTGTGGTTTGTAGTGTTTCATGATTGGAAATTGCTGCCTCGTTCTTTTTGCCCCCCAACTGTTAGATTCCAACATATTAATGCAACCAGACTTGGGTGTGTGCTTATCTATTTCCWTATCGTGTTTTGTTTTAAGGTGATGACACCATGACAGGAGATGGAGGAGAGTACCTTAGGCCAGAAGACCTCAAAGAACTAGGAGATGACTCTTTGCCAAGCAGCCAGTTCCTAGATGGTATGAACTACCTGAGGTACAGCTTGGAAGGAGGACGATCTGACAGGTATTTGTCTGGGTTCAATTCCAGGTGTATTTTGTTATAAATATTGAAAGTCTCTTTATTGGTGTTTCTAAGTCAAGGTAGATTTGAATGAACTTCTCAGGCCTTCTTTATTAGAAATGTCAGCTTGCCAACTGTCACTTTGCAAGAGTGTGCGTGGTCAGGAGTGACTAGTCCAGAAACAGATACATTGGGCACTAATGCTCTACTTGGAGTCTAAGGAAGAATTTACTTCTGATCCCTCGATCTTTAAAAGACAGGACTTGCTTTTTGGTCTTTGTAGATGAGCAAAGGAAGTTGGCCATGGAAAAGGCTCATGAATCATGCCATTCTCCTCCTGTCATGAGTCAGGGAAGGGGTGGGTAGGTGGACAAAGTCTTTCAGCATTTAGGTGATTTTTTTGAGCTGTCTGAGGGCTAGAGCTATGAGGAAAGGAATAATGGGCTTAGTCATTTCACGTTAGATTGATAGCAAATATATTGTCACCAAGTATGTTGACTCTTGCCYTATTCCTCATGGTTGAACTAACAGGAAAGAGAATAATTCACCTTTCATTGCCAGAGARTACTTTTCCTTTCAGTGGCATAGTGCGATATTTAAGTCCTGAACCAAAAGAAATTTACATTAAAAATAAGGTGTTTTCAGTCCAGAYAATATTGACTTGATTACATCTAAAAAATTCAACTCATATCTAGCTTTATTGGAGGAATAATGATGTCTGTAACCTGAGTATTTTGAGTCTAACTTTATAAAAGCACAAATAAAATGAGACAGAGGGCTCTATGCTTTTCAAAGATACTCTGTGATTTAGAGAATGTCCTTGTAGTCTACATAAGATATAGGGTTCAATTTTCAGCATTAGAGCTTTTGCTAGTGAGTATGACTGTAGATTCAGGTACCTTATCTGGCACATTAACGCCTGCACTTCTGAATTGGCTGAGAGTCGGCTGTCCAGGCATTTCTGTTGGAAAATGGCAATGCCTAGTTTAATTCAATAATATTTCTAGATTTATCATGTTTGTAATTGCTGAAGGAGGGAATGACTGAARGAGAGGAAAAAATGGTTGAGATCTTGGCAACAAAAAGGATTTTTAGCCTGCCTCATTTTCCAGTCTTCGTTGTTATTCTGGCAGCATTTCCCAGGTTCAGAGAAATCAGTAGGCTCCATTCTGTTTACTTCCGTAGGTTATGAATCCCCCTTGGAACAAAAGGGGTCAGGAACAGTTCCGCTTGCCTCGCAGCATGCCTAAATCCCTCCTCATTCAGGCCTTCTCAACTTGGGGCCTGCTGCTTTTCAGACAGCTCCAATAAATCCACTGAAAGTGGCTGTTGCTTTTGAGCCTCCAGGAAGCAGGGAGACGGGGATTTATGACTGCATAGGAATATAAAAAACTACACTAGCTACATCAGCTTAAAAATCAAAACATGTCACCATTATCAAGGTCTTTCAATGGTAGCAATGTTTCATTTATTTATTTAAAGACACTGTGTAGGAATGATTGTGCAGTCAAGTGCTAACCCCGTTTCTGCTCTGGTTTAGAATAATTTCGCTTTTAAGTACGGTCCATGGGTTTCAGTATTTTCACTGACATATAATTGATTTCTGTATGTGTTGTGTTTTCTGTTGCATGAAGATGATTTCTCATCCCGTATCAAGTATGGTTGCATAGAAATGAAGCAGAATGATACACAGAGGTAGAATGAAATAAAAAGGTGCAGCTTTTAAACTTGATGATCTCACTTTGTCAGGTTACTGTTTATAAGAATTTTCACAGAAACTGCTTAAATTATTTTGTTTTTGCTGTAGTAAAACTTTCATTGCATTATACCGACTTTGTTCTTTAAAGAAATTCAGCAACGCAAAATAATATAGACAGCACATACATGTGTATCTTATGCATTAAAGAATTTGATTTTAAAACATGTATTTTTATTTTGTAACCATCTTCCCTATTTATTTTATTTCTCTCTCCCCTTCATTCTTTTTTGTATGCTTTCATTAGCACCATGCCCAGGTAGGTATTGCATAGCATGAAAATGTCATCCCTCTAGACTTTAATGGCACCTGTCTCTGCTCATCCCTTTTGGAGGCCTGYTGTGCACCGGAGTGTTGATTTTGAGAAGACAGTGCTGGTGGAGGTAGTTAGAGCTGCAGATGAGTATGATGTGTGGTGGCAAATAGTGATTCACCAGTACTGTCTAGCTAAGAAGTTCACAGAATGATGTAGCTTGTGTCTTAGAAACAAGCTCCTCGGTTGCTGTAAGGATAGAGGTAGCAGGATGCAGGTGAGTAGCGCTAGGTTCGGTGGCTGTGCTGCTGAACACATTAGCTGTTTTCTGTTCCTAGCGGTTGGTTGGAAAGGGAGAGCGTGGTTTATGTAAGCTGAATTGGCCCTCTGGATATTCAGTGGGAAATGATCCAGACTGTATCAGATCACCGCTGTTTGAAAAGACTTACATTTGGTGCAGGTCCCATCTACTCTCTGGAACTGTGATGCACGGGAAGAGGGGCTTTCAGTCTTTATTTTAAGAAACCTCATGCAATTTTTCAGTGGTAACAGGTCCTTTTTCCAAGGTTTCTGAAACACCATATACTGCTAGCTATCGGTAGCCTCAGATGGACAGAGAGGCTGCTGGAGGCCTGTCTAGACTGGCAATCACAAGTGCACTGCACTGTGGTCTTCCCATCACCCAGAGGAGAAGAGCTGATGTGTCAGGCTTGGTGGGTGACACCTGCCTGTGTGCTCCCGGTATGGGCGTAAGAGGCGTGCTTCTGTGCAGGACCTTTGTAGTCTTCCTGGGTTTCACAATTCAAATGTCTCTCTGCTTGAGCAGATAACCCCACAACCCTTGCAATTGAGAATCTGTATTTAGACGCGTCACCTGTCTCACTTAAGGTCTTTTTTTTTACAGGAGCTTTTACAATAACAAATAATACACATGCCTCATAACAGTTCTGCCCAGTGTCAGTGTTTATTCACAAGCCTCTGAGGGCAGTATCACCTCAAGATTAGTTCTGAAATTAAATGTAGTAGAAAATTTAAACTTACAATTTACTGCAGACCTAAGTCAGGCTTGTATAGCAGTCTTGCCTGTTGATAAAAGTTCATAGCCTCAATGCGTGGATATATGCAGGAACTTACATGTGTGTATTGCATCCTGGATGGACAGTGGGCTAGTTGTAGTGGTGGTAGTGGCCAAGTCAGGGGCTTACAGAGGAATATGGACAAAMTCACGATACAGACGAGCAGGCCAATCTTGTACATGTTGCTTTTCATTCAGCGGCTATGAAGGACGTGACATTAGCTGAATGGCGATGCCTACAGCTTGGATGGCAAACTTCTTGCAAGCATTGCATGGCACTGTGTAAACTTGTTCTGAAAGTGTCAAATGTTAAAATGAATAGGGGATGATGATGGCAAATGGGGTCTGCTACTGAAGTATTTTTTTTCATCCAAAGAATAAACATTGGCCCGAAGTACAGTTGTTATGAAGAAGGAGGGTGTACCCTGCCCACCAAATTTATGCTAAAATGTTACAAAAGAACTGTGTATGTTAGCAAAATACCCTTCAGTCAAGATTCCTACTCATAACTTTTTTTCTGTAAATAAGTTATATGTAGACAGTTAGCATGAACTGTTAGCCCTACTGAAATCAATAGAAATGTTGTTTTGATGGAATCAAAATTTTATTCCARAAATGCATAACTCTGATGATATTTTCCTTATCAACCTTATCCCTTTCACCTCTTCTATTTGCCTGGGTGAAAAACTGTTTTTTGATATATAAAAGAGATTATGTGTTACAGTGTTGTCTTTTCTTCCTGTTCTGCCCAACATCTTCCCAACGCTGATATTTGTGTAATATTTAACTTTGCTTTCAATTTTGTACCATCATTGATTATGCTATTGATACATGCCAATGACCAATAATATTGATCATTCTTTCAGTATTATATATTTCTGATAAAGATAACCTTTTTTTTTTTTTTTTTAAATGAGCATGAAACTAACATTGAGTGAGCGTAACTGTATAAAACAAACTTGACTGGCATGACTCTGGTGGTAAAAYTGAACTTCCAACAAGATTGATATTTAAAGAAGTTTGAAGCTCATGCCCATGGAGTAAACATGACATTTTTATTATCGACTGTTAGAAAGTAATTATCCTTTAAAAACCTAGATATGCAGATAAATGGACTATTGTTTTGATCCTACATGTCAGTCATTGTGAGCATTACTCATGAGGTGTAAAGCATGAAAAGAAAACTCCTCCCTTCAGACTTGTGCCCYGTAATCCTCCGGGTATCAAACAGCAGAGTGCACTTAATATATCTGAAGGTGGATGGTCAGTTTTTTTTTTAATGTCTATCACAATACCTTAGATGGTAAATATAGTATCTGAAGGACRGAAATAATGCTGTTTGGTAGCAGAAACCCCATTTACCTCAGTATGTCCTTGTTGTGGTGTCTCTGTTTTTCTCCTGTGTCTTTTTTGCTTTTTGCTAGTAGATCCGCAGCTAAATTCTGAGCCCGTGCTTGGAAGCAGCTTATTACTGCCTTGCGTCTCTCATTGCTACAGCAACCAGTTTTCTGTAGAGCTGTGTGTTCTTATGAAGAAACTGGTGCTCACRTTCTGGATTGTTTTTCTCAAGATGCTCTTGGCGTGCCGAGGAGGAATTTTGTTTGTTTGCACAGGAGCGTGTGGCTGGCCCCAATCCATGTTGCTGTGTGTACCTTCCAGGGGATAATATGGAGGTTATTCCTTTGTAGGTCAGAACTAAGTTTTGGAAGGAGTCGTTTCAGCTTTTCTTCAGATGTTAGCATTTTGGTTTTCCTGTGTGGTTTGTTCATATCACACAGCAGAAGAGAGAACACCTTCAAAGAGCCTCCGACGGAATCCCTGCTCTTTATTGAACACAAACTATTAAGCCACAAAGCTAACTATAAAAACATCAGTGAATACAAAATAGACTGTAATTTAAACTAGCCTATACTTTCTTCATCTGAAACAAATGAGAWAAGTAACTTTGTGGCTCTTGGTCAGAAAAGTAGTGTAACGTAGAGATTTGTAAAGCTCTGCTTTTTTTCCCCTTCCCTTATGTATACTCCCCTGGAAGTTGCATCGTGTTTGCTAATAGCACGCTTTTTTCATTCTGCCACTTGGCCTGTCACCACACCTTTCCACCATCACCTGTGCTGCTGGTATATTGCTATGGCATCCTACCAACCTGCCAGCCTGCGGTCCTTCAGTTCCGACAGGTCCCACACGCTGAGCCATGCCTCCTACCTGAGGGACAGTGCCATGATCGATGACACGGTGGTAATTCCCAGCCAGCAGGTAAGCAAATTCTCTCAAGTTTACTCCTCTGTTGGGCAAATATGGAAATGTGTGGATTGTACCAATGGTATRATATAGTGTATGGTGTTTTATTTCCTATAATGTAAATTTCTTATAATGTAAATCCTTCCTGTTTCGTATCATATTTAATCTGCTTTATGTTGTGCAGTCTATTCTGAAATAAATGCGTAAACTGTATTAATGTAATATATGGACTCTCTATAACGTTCACTATTTCATGCGACTTTGAAAAACTAACGGCCGCTGGTCCAAATATTTAGGTCATCTAACAAATTCAAAGACATTTTCCTGAAAGATACTAGGCTGAAGTGTGTCTCTAGTGACAAAAAGATTTAGAAATTATCAGTTTAGCAACTCACAGCATTGCTGTTCACTGGGGCCAGTAACAGAATTGCTTTGAGAAAGTACAAAATGTTAGTTTCTGATATTAAAATGCTATTACTATTCCTTTTAATTTTATTTAAAATAATGCTTGAAATGTTCAGCTACCACTATGCAAAATAGATCTTTTTATTGTTTGCTTGATTAATTAATCTTACTGTAGTAAAAGGAAAGTGTTTTTTTTTTTTTCTTCTCCTTTATCAAGGTAACTCTGGCCAAAGAAGCAGAAAAGAATTCCTGTCGCTTAAGCTGGGGCCCTGAAAACTTGGAYAATGTGGCGCTCTCTTCCAGCCCTATTCATTCAGGGTGAGTATATCAATTAGCATTGTTTGGGGGGAAAAAGAAGGCAGTGGCAGCAGCTTCAGCTAATACTTGATTAGGAGTTAAATTTTGTGCTTTCCTTCATTACTTTGAGCTGGTAATCATTTTGGTATGATCACCAAATTTCTGCCAGTTGTGCAAGTYTGAATATAAAGACTGTCAACTGGAAGTCAGTGTGTTGGTGCCAGTGAGCCCGTGGTCAGGTTTCAGAGGAGTGAGAGGGAGTCCACAAATCTCAGAGAGAAATCTCAAATACAATGCTTGTTTAAAAATTGTGATAATTGTAGCAGCTTAATCAGTCCAGTCTCATACTAATGAAGTAGTTTAAGTAAGCTTCAGCTCTAAACTATCAGGTTTAATAATAAAAAGCGAAGGATTTTAAGTTACTAGAAGCAAGGAATATTTGAGCAACCAGAAGACTACACAGCTTACAAGTATTTGGCCATATATAAATATAAAAGTTTTTTTTTTTTTTAACTTTTTACATTCACGTAAGCTATTTGAAATGTAGCAAGATATATTGAAAGGCATATCTACCCATATTCATCCTTATAAAGGTTATCCTGATTGGCCTCAAGGCCTGTGAGAGCATTAGTTTAAAGCACTCTTAATTGCTGTGTTTTAAGTAATGTTATTCTTTACGCTGAGTAAAGACGTTATTTTACACTGCCATCAGATTAGATGTGTCATGTGCCTACCAATTCCTACTGAAGTTGTGTCACACAAAAGCGTTTCCTTTCTGTGGAGCTATGTTCCATGTAGCACCGCAGGACATCTGGGAAAAAAGAGAACTTCTTAATCTCAATTGAGTTGACCACAATTTTAGTCCATATTTTTCAAAAATAATACTGGCATCCAGTTTGGAATTTGGTGGTACTGGTCCAGAAGTGGGTCAGTAATATTACTATAGTGGAGTTTGTAAATCAACTAATTCAAGACACTTATGGGAAGCTGATGTATTAGCTGCTAGCGGTTTATTTGCCTGTGGCCAGTGCTGCTTGGACTTGTTTTCTCTTGAGCTTTAAAACTAACAAACAACGTGATGATGCTTAGCTTGTACAGTACATATATACCAAGATSTACACTTYAAAAAAAAATTGTTTTCATGGCTTTTTCTAATGATAGGGAGTCTGCACAATTTTCCCAAAGGAGGTATTACTTGTCACTTGCAGAAAGATAGGTGTGTATGGTGATTGCTGAGGATGATTAAATACTTTTTGGAAGAGTGGTATTTGCTTCTTTGCACAGAYACACTGTTCTATCAAAAGAAAAATTAGTGATATTTTAGCACCTTTTGGATGACCAGGATGCCAGTGGTAGAGTAAGAMTATCTAGCTTTAATTAAAATGCCTCTCTGCAACCTTTTATGAAATAGTGATATTTAACACAGTACAGTTTTATTCTTCTCATATATCCCAATTAATCTGTCACTAAATATTTTAAAAGTATATCTGCAATAACAATTACTCATCTTTTGGGAAAATCTGCATAATAGTCATAATATTTCCTTTCTTTTAGTGCCTATTTTTAGCCAAGTCATTAAGTTATCACTATAAACTGCAGAGATGTGCCATGGCCTTAGGTTGTGCCAGAGGAGGTTCAGGTTAGASATTAGGAARAATTTCTAYTACAGAAGAGTAGTCAGGCATTGGAACAGGCTGCCCAGGGAAGGGGCAGAGTCACCATCTCAGGAAGYATTCACAAAACGTGTAGATGAGGCACTTAAGGAGATGGTTTAGCAGGCAGATGTTGAAAGGCTTACAGTTGGACTCGATGATCTTCGTCTTTTCCAACCATAATGGTTCTATATCCTTGATTGGAAAATACAYTCCCTGGATACATGAACTGAAATTCCACTAGCCATACCCTTTAAAACTGAAACAACTGCAAAAGTGCTGTGTGCATAACCATTGAATTCACCCAGCTGAAACAGCAGGTACGTTCATAATTTACACGGTTTCTATGGTACCTGCAGGCAGGTACCATGGCTACTGGGTGAACTATCARCAGTGTTGACATTTCAGTTGCATGCCATGTAATAGTATGCTTTTATTACAAAAGGGAAGTCTTGGTGTTTGCAAATGAATGCTTTATACCATTTTTAGTGGCTTCAAGTAAGGTCACGGTCTTACAAATTTGCCCAAGATATGGGATATGTACTGAACTTAGAGCATGTTTTTATAAAGCAGTACATCAGAGTGGTATTGGGCAGTGATTTATTTAGTGCCAGTCATCCTTATTTTCTGTTCTGTGCAATAGGAAATAAAAAGACTAAGACTGCTTTTCCTGTGCAGGGCTTGAGTGATGACCCCAAGTTGCTGGGTTCTTACAGAGCTGCCCTGGTAGGGAAGTGTTTCAGCTGATGGCAGGGTGACACCCACAGGCAGAGGGATGAATTGATAAAGAACTGTCGTCTTACTGATATGAAATTTCAGAGGCATATATTTCAACCCTTGTATAACTAACTAAATCTTTACCTCTGAAAAATTACATCTGAAATTCTAGAAAGGGAAATCATTTTAACCTCTCTTTAAAATTTAAATAGATTTTTTTGTTTCAATATGTGGATAATTTCATCAATGTGGTGTAAGTAAAGCTAAATCTTTGACAAGAATCTCTACAGACATTCCAAAACCAAGAAATTATACTCTTCTAAGGGGCAAAACTTTTTTTGGTGCGCACCATCTCAACACAAACCTCTGGTAGCTTTAAAGAAATTAGCTCCTTCTAAATATTTTCACAGATGGACTTAAAGTAGAAGTAAAAACTAATGCAGCTTTATACTTTTTCCTGTCACATTTAAACTGACTTTCAGTAAATCAGACTTGCKTCTCCTTTTAAAACTGTGCAATCTTATATTTCAGTAAAGCTAAAGATCTTCCACTATGTCCTAAGTTTTGCATGTTCTATGTCCTATAAGGTAGAGTTTTACTGCATTACTGACAATATTACTGTATATCCTGTTCAAGTATTAGGAGAGACAGAAGTAATGCCTACGTAGATGCAAGTGTGTCTCACGGTTTCAGTCTCATACTTCTGCATACCCCGTTGTGGAGGGGCACAAAATATTTTCCTTAAGTTGGAAGGCAAAATACTGAACTGCAAGGTTTCTCTTCACTTGCACCATTTAGACATTGTTTGCCAGTGTCCTATTCTTGTGTTTCTGCCACCCATAGTAGTTAAGTGTGAATGGTAAAGGTAAGGCTGGCTGCAAGTCTGTGATTTTAAAGTATAGGTGATGTGCAAAGGTATCATATTGTTTCATACCTGAGTTTTAATGAGATGGTGAACAAAATCTCCTAATTTGTTTATGTTTAGATTATATTACAAAGAGTTTTAATAACATGTATGAGAGGTAAGAAAATGAGCAGTTTCATCACAATGTCAATAACATGGCACTGGGAGTGAGTTAATTCAGGCAGTGCTCTGATAATAACTTGCTTCTGTGTGCAAAAGCTCTGCAGTTTTTCCTGAGTCTAACGTGTTCACAGTAAAACTTGTTCATGAGAAAAAATGATTTGATTTGATTTAATGAAGAGAGAAACCAATATGYCGAATAGTTGTTCTATATGTACATATATTTAGTAAAATGTATTTAGTAAAATGAAACAGCCAGGCTATTACTAGTGAATTTACCTTTCCGGACGATGTTGCTTCCATCAATGAAAGGGGGAAAAAGACAAGTGAGTCAGCAGCTRTAACTGTGACAAATAATGTGAATTATCATTCTTAGCTGCCTGTCTGCAAAAAAGGAGGCTGGATCCATGCTAACAAGGTAAATGCAATATGTTTCAAGTGTTACATTTTCAATCCATAGTATTGCTTTCCCCAATGTGACATTAATTTCCTAGAAATTGTCATGGAAACAGGACCTGGCAGCTACCAGCTGAGAGTCATTTTTAAAATGCGCAAGCCTAAATGATTTTAGCATACATTGTAGCCCTTATGAACCTCTATTCACACAGTTACAGTATGAAAAAAATAGCGGGTGTTTCACTAATAGTGTATCTTTGTTCATGTCAATGAAAGGAAATGGCAATGGAGACATATATTGGAAGAAAAAAAAAAAACCATACACTGCTGACAGAACATTAACTGGGCAGSACCTGAGACTTTACTGAGAATATAAACAGGTCAAAAGAATATAAGCAATTCATAGCTGGAAAATTGACGTTTTGTAATGCAGAACAAAAGGAGGACAAGAAACATGTTGAAATGGAACAAGCTAGAGGACAGAGAATAGAGATTTGAAGAAAGGAGGCTCGTGGCTTGCTGTGTTATCAGAGGCACCGGATGGAATCACTCTAGATGCATTCGTTACTCAGGGTACACCGTGGTCCAAACGTTAAATGTTGCCTATCTGAAACAAGCAGCATTTCCCCAGTCTTGTTCTGAGGTCTAACTGTACAGGTTAGGTATCYGAGTTGCAGTTTGAGAACATATGTAGAGAAACCCACTTGATTACTACCATAGTAGAAATAYACATTTTTAAACCAAGATTATTATGTAGGCTTATTTTTTTTGTGCTTTTTCATTTTCTCATGCATATATATTCATATACTTAATTCAGAAATCTGCTTTTTTTCCCTAGTGTTTCATTTAGCTCATTTTTTGTTTGTTTTTTTGTTTTTTTTTGAGGGGGGGAGGTTATTAAATTATCTGTTCTATTGCAGCTGTTCCTCTCCCTGTCTTGATCATGACAACAGCAGGTGAACTTCTGCTTAAATTCTTTCTTTAATATATTGTTCCTGCACTTCTCCCTCCCCATATTTATCCTCCTCTCTTACATCATTTCAGGATGCTTTAGTATTTTGATATTGTGTTAGCCAAGAGGGGGAAAAAGATAAAATCTGCTCTGACCAGGAATAAATTCCACATGTTGCTATTTCTCTTATACAGTTAAGTGGCCATTTTCTTCTTTCTGCTCTTATGTCGTGTATAAGGAGAGAATGCTAGCCATGTTAAAGGCTTTTCATAAAAAATCTTAACAAACTTACTATGCATTCCTAGATTGTTTTAATCCTGGATTTACTTAGCAGTAAATTTGCTCTACGGATGACTAAATGTAGCTTAAAATAAATCCAGCAAAAAACATTATAAATTTCAAGTAWTACGTCACAAACTGGATCTCATCTCTATATAAAGAATATTACAAAAMCATTTCCTAGGCCATATTTTCCAACTCATATTGCCCTATTGAAACTTGTGGAATAACAGCACTTTTTGTATTTAAAAGGTGAAACCTGACCCCATATGTTTGAATTTTGTGCCAAGTTCTATTTGTGTGCAGCTTTAATCAATCAGCGTTYGAATCACTGACACATTCTGTTTTGCTGTGCAGGATACCTGTAGCGGTACCTACCTAAGGGAGATTATCTGCACTCAGTAAAAGGAGTGTTGATTGGCACAATAATTTTTCATACCCTTTAAAGATGACCAGAGAATAACAAAAGATTGAAATATTAAACTGCACAAATTTAATAAATTATTAAATAAGAGATCACACCACAAAAATTGTATTTTTTTTAGGTGGTATTATCTCATCTYTTTATAGTCAAAGAATGCCATTATTATCAATGGAGAGAATATGAATGCAAGTTATTGCTTGTAGTGGATTCCTAGATAGGCTCATGCTTTTTGTCCTCCTAGATACTTTCCCCTCTTGTTTATCCGTGGGATAGTTACAGTCTGGCCAAAAGCACGCAGACAGAGTGAACGCCTTGCTATTGATTTTAGTGAGAACAGGGGGTAAAGGCCCTTTTATCTTAATTTCAGAGTTTGTTTCAGTTTTCTTCTTCAGTCGAACACTTCAGAATGCCTGAAGCACCCTGAGCGTTTTTGCTTTTTAACRCACTGTGACTAACACTGAATGCTGCTATCTCCTTGTTTCCTCACTGCTTAAAAAAAAAAGAAGATGATTTACACAGAAAAGTTCTCCAATGTGCCTACTATGGAGTTGAGTTGTAGCTTTTTCATTGTTTCTAATAGTTGAGGCGAGCATGTGTGCCTGTCCAGCTAGTTTAAAAGAATAATCATAACTGATGATATGGAAGCGGTGTGTTGATTTCGCCCATTGAGCTTGTGGTGCTAAAAGCACTGTTGCCTGTTCTAGAAAGGCCCTTCCTGACGCTGTGTTTGCATGGCTCTTCAGATGAATCTGCAGAATGAGAAGTGTGGTTGAGTGCCAACGTGCTTGTTTTCCCAGCTACCTGGAGCTGTGTGGTTCTTCTGCAAAGCCTTTTACATAAGAGTAATTCTCTCCAAACCTCAAAATAACAATTTTCTTCCCACCCACCCCCATGTTGATGTAGCCTTTAAATTGTTTTTTATTTATTCCTTTATTACTTTTGAAAGGAGTGCAAAAAATCAGCAAAAGGAGTAAATACAGATCAGCTTTGAAAAAACAAGTATTTCTTATAACTGCACCATTTTTTCTCCTTTTAAGGTGGATAACTTCAATGTCTATGTTGTCTGTGATGTGATTCTAATGGAGCCAATAGAATGTGGATTCGTGTCTGTTTGTTCTGTGTGAAAGGCGTGGAAACAGCCGGAAAGAAAGTTAGGAGCCTCTTGTATACATATGTCTTTAACCAGGGGATGCTACTGACAGTCTTGTCTGATGTAATTGAGTTTTATATGGTAAATGTGTAGATTCTACTGGCCCTCAAATTAAAAAGAATGAAATGCCACATATAATCTATTAGAAGGCATTTCTAAATCGTAGGAGAATGTGCAGTAGTTGATCTAACCTCTAACCAGCTATGTAACAGAAACCTATATATGTTCCCCTCTAGTCTGTACTTATTTCTAGACAATAATTGCTTTTGTTTTTTTTTTCTTGGGAAAAAAAAAAATCCTGTTTTGTCCTGAGCTCTCTTCAAAAGAGAGAAGTCAGCAGTTTCCGGTGAACTAATTTATTTCATTGAATTGGCTATAAAAACCCCTTTATATTTGATTGCCATCTTGTTAAGTCTCGGGAAAACTGGATATTAATCTAATAAGCAAAGTTGCGTAAATATCAGAGTAGGATATTTGTCATGCATCATTTTTCACTGAATCTTCAAACCAAGGCYGACAGTTCTTGCCAGCCCTTCTACAAAGGATTCTCTGATTGTTGACCAAGCCACTATTGACACAGCTATTTTTGACTTTGCTGCTTAAATTGCTTTGATTTTTGAGTTATTATTCAGTTAAAATACAAGTCCTTAAAATGACTTCCAAAATAAACTCTTAGTGCTAAAGAAGGATGCTTTCCTTATATGCAATTATTATAGGAAGTGTATCTAAAGTATGATCTGAGACAGACTTTTTCTGATATAAAAATACATGCAGATAGGTTCCATGTTCCTGATCAATCAGTTCACCTCAACTTTTGGAGCTCCTTGGTTTTAAAAGGCTCAGAAGAAGGCTTTCAGAAACTTGGAGGGCTATCCCTAGAGCTCTTYGGGCTGTATTATTTTTCCCTAAGTTCCATTTTTACCTCATCACTCCTTTCCATAATTAATCTCTGCTAAAGTTTTCCTTCTACTGTTCCATTTTTTTAATACCCTGTTGAAAAATGTAGTTAATTACATCTTCATAACCTCCCTGCCAGTTATGTTTCTTTTGCATTTTCTTGAATTTTTAATACAATAGTAAATTATCCGAGAAGCATGTCAGCAAATGTTTTAGGATGTGTCTTTTTCTCTCCTGATCTGAAGATGATCTGTAAGATGGTAAAAGATATTTATGATTCTTTATTTTTTGTTTTCCTTCTTTTCTTGAACTCCTCACAACCATCTCTGTTTCTTTTTAATCACCTTTCTCCCTTCTCCATATGTAGTGGCTTGGAAACGCTCGTGCTAATGCTTCCCATGATTGGTGTGTGGGATGAACTCTAGTGTTTCCTGACCAGCCAGAAGATGCTTTTTGTAATGTCCATCTAGCATAAGTAGAGGGTACCTGGAGCCTTTTGCAGACAGAGCATCTTGCAAAGTTATTAAAGCAGAGAGGAAAGATGCAAAGAAGACTGAACATGTATTTTCCTCTTGCAGATGGGAGCAGCACAGCAAAGGAAAACACTGGGGCTGTGCATGCAAAAGCAGGAGAATTTTAGCAGCCCTAAGCTGCTGGAGGCAGATATGATGCTAGGGAGATATATATGTATATATAAATATAGGTCTATTTCAGTATTACGTTTTATTCTTGACTATAGGAATTTACAGTGAAAAGGTGGCACTAACGCCAGTGATGTCTTACCTGCGTTCTATTCCTACCTCAGACTTGTCACTTAGCATCATCTGCTAAACGTGAGGGAGTGGGGAAGTGACGGGGCTGGGAGCACAACAACAAAATAATTATTTTGCATTTCACATTTCCTCTGCATTAGTCATACCATTTTTTCACTTTCCTAATAGCATGTTTCTGAAAGCAAATGTCATGCATTAGTTTTTTATGAATTATTTTTATATGAATGTACACAGTCCTTCAAACGCTCAAAGCTTTTCCAACTATGGAATAGTCATGTTGTTGTCCTGCTGTCCTATTGCATAGCAAATAAGCAGAAGACAAGACATGAGAAGTGCTTTGTTATTATTTGCTTGATACCAGCACATGGGAGAATTCAAAATAAGCTATGTGTGTTGTGCTGATTTTAAAAAAAATTATCAAATGTCAAAAGGTTGGAGGGGGAAAAAAACAGAATAGTACAGTGAAAAAAACTATGCTTTCATGTTCTGTGTCAGCATTACAAGTCCTGGGTCAGTGTATTATCCTTTCACATTTTTATGCCACTGTTTAGAAAGCTGTTCCCTTTTTATTTCTTTATTTTGCATTGCATTCACGGCAGTTCTTGCTAGTTCTCCAAATTTGTTACCCAACCTTTGAATAATATTTGCTGACTTCTATGGTAGTTTCAAACCCATCTAAGAGTCACCAAAGCTCCCATGAATCTCATGTACCTGGTTGTGTGCATGAGCAATATGGCATAGTGTCCTTTTCTGAAAGGTAATATGATGTACACTGCCTAGTAGCTATGTTGTAGCTCCTTGTTTARTAAATACACGGCATTTTCTGTATCAGAACACTGTGTTGTACAGTGAAGAGTAGTGTCCAATTCCTTTTAGCCTAACTCCTGCTACCTCTGTGTCTGCCTTCCAGCGATAATTACCTTTGTTTTTCCATTCTTGAGGACTTATTTCCTTGATGGTTGTCAAGGTCCTTGCTCTGATAGGGTTTACTGTTATTATATAAATTTAAATTGAAAGAAATAATCAAGCATGTAATTAAGCCCTGAATCCACCTCTTACTGGAGACAAATATCACACTCAATTTTTACTTGTTCTCTATTAGATTCCAGACATCCCAGGTGTGGGGACACAAGACAGCTTTGGTGTCTAGGAGTTGACTTACCACCTTGACACTCTTTTATTTAGGCCTTTACTGATTTTATGTGTAAGTCTTCATGTAGCAGTTCAGCATTTCTGGCATTTTTGAGAAATATACTAAGGAGGGCGCAAGGGAAAGCAAGAAGTGAACTAAGGCAAATATTTGAGAGACAGGTAAARATGATCCTGTTCAAGTTTACAACCTCGAGTATTACGTCAATGGGGAAAATAAATGAATCACAAAATCTGTCTTTATGAAAACTTATTCAGTGAAAAATGTGCATGCCAATTTAATTCAGTAAGTGCACTCGTTCTCCTTAGTTATTGGTAATTATGGGGGTAGTCTTTCTGTTGTTCATAGTGTCAGTACCAGAGTGTGGCTGTTTTTTCTTTCCTTCTTTTTTTTTTCCCTTGCAGAACTCAATGTTACTAACAACTTTTAAAGCATCCATTATAATAGAGACTYGGGATGATTCTTTGAAACACTATTCAGACATTTTGATAATGTTATTTCATATATTTGAAACAGGTTATGGAGCATTATTGCGACAATTGAGCATTTAGTAGCTCTTAGGCTTATCTGTGCTTTAGAACGTACAAAGTATGTATTTTATGAAGGAAGCACCCATTTTTCACTGTCAGTCCCCAAATCAAAGCTGTAAATTGTTTTCATTTTTTTTCTTTTCACCCTTCTTAAAACCACAGAAACACCAACATCTAAGGAATGAGATAATGGTGTACTACCCAGACTATTACACTAAACAAAACCTAGAGGTATATGAATGGTGGTAGACTAGGAGACTGCATGTGTGCGAACGACTGGCATCCGTGGTGCATGGTGTGCTGCTGACTGGCACTTGTGGCTCCCCCCCATCAGTCATTTTCCTGACTTGCACGGTGTGTCGAGTGTTGTGTTTTTCCAGCATGTGGAATTACTCGTGTGGATAATGAACGGAGGCAACGTTTGCACAGAACGGTCAAGGGGACGGGGCAAAGAGCTGTGCTTGCAACTCATGTTTCAAAGGTCTTTCTATATTGCAGGTCCTTCAGTAGCGTTTGTGTGACTCCTCATGGGATGCCTCTATTTTAGTGGCTAGAAGTAGGCCTGATACTTCTCATCTTACTATAGCATATCAGGCATTGTCTTAAGTAACAAAGCAATGCAAAATTCCAAGTAGGTCTAAATGTTTCACAGAATGCCCTTAAATGCTGTGACAAATATGTAAAAGTCCCCCTATTGGTTATGTACACGATGTAGAAAAAAACTCACTGTACAAGAAATTCCAGGAAGGAATAGTAAATACAAAATACCAATTTACCTGCATCTAGGAGAGAGTTTTTTAACTAGCTTTTCGCAACAGTAAGCTGCTTATGGAGGCATTGTGATGCTGTGCCAAGTAACAGGAAAAATGAATAAAAAAAAAATTGATATTATATAATGTTAGAGCTAGTCTCATCTCACTAAAACTTGTCTTCATTTATTTTATCTCATATGAACAAACAATTCAGACATTCTGGGTTAGTAGCTTGTCTTTAAAAAAAAAAAAAAAAAAAAGTGTTTTATTCTCTGCTTGTCATTCTATTCTTGAATTTTATTAAATATTCCTTTAATAAATGAAGGATTTTTTTGCTGGTTCTGCCTCTTACCCACCACTATCTTGACCTAATCTATTTACTGCTGCAAAGATCTGAACTTTAATTCAATGTTTGACTCTTATAGRTTATCAAGTAATTATAGAGTTTTATAGAATAACCTTAAAAAAAATCTCCAATCACAATTGGCTTTATTCAGTCATAATTCTTTTTAAATGATATATATTATTTATATAAGAAATGTAAATAGCGCCAACTTTACAGAATAGATGCTCTTAGGTACAGAATAGTCATATTTGTACTTTAATAGGTGTATGTACGTGTGTATACGCATGTGTGTGGCCACACACACATACATTTATTAGTGTCTGCTGGTATATACCAAAAGTGGCATTGTGAAATGACACTCTTCCCATGATGAACTCTTAGACAGCTGATGACACTGTAAATAGTAAAAAGTGTTAGCCTAATTTATTGCTCTGTATGGGAGGCAAAAGCGAGCTTGTTACTGTACTTCTTGAGAAGGGCTATATGTACCCATACGTACGTGGTTCGTTAGGTAAGGAAAGAGAGAAAGCAARTGAAATGTAACTGAAGTATTTTTTTGGCTGCCTTTGTACCTAATACGTGTTTCTGGCTTTCCAGCTTCCTAGTTAGTTTCATGGTGGATGCTCGCGGGGGTGCCATGAGAGGCTGCCGGCACAACGGGCTGCGCATCATCATTCCGCCGCGGAAATGCACCGCTCCCACGCGAGTGACGTGCCGGCTGGTCAAGCGCCACCGGCTGGCCACCATGCCGCCCATGGTGGAAGGGGAAGGCTTGGCCAGCCGCCTCATTGAAGTCGGACCTTCCGGGGCCCAGTTCCTTGGGTAAGGGGTGCCGTGTGGCCCGAGGGAAAACGCTCCCTGCATTTTCCTCTGTCTGCAAAGGGTTTCTCTTTTGAGATTTGGACGGAAAAGGTGTTTGTAGCCTGTGGTCACAGGTCAGTCATTTGCAAATGCAAATGGATTGTTAGCTAACTGTTCTGGCAGCTTTGATTCCTTTTCTTTTGAAAACTGATACTAGAACCACTAGGTTAAGGGGCGTTCCTTAAGGAACAATTATTACAACAGTTATTTCTCAGTGTTGTGACGCTATAGTAGCATGAAGTCACTTTGCAGCTAGAACAGGCAGTTTATATTTAAATCATTTACCTATAGAGTGTGAATAGCACAGCACTCATCTAAAGCACGAACGTAAAGCCTGCTACATAGCAAGAGAAGTTACAGCTGATTAATATAGAGACTTGTGTTGTCAGTAATTTGGACTCTCAGGGAAGCACTGTTCCTTTGAATTTTCTGGAGCTGACRTTGAAAAGTCAAGCAATAGGATAAGCCAGAAATTTGTGGGCAGTTTATTTTGTCCTGGGCTGCAGAGCCTTTAGAAAGATCAGTTCTGTGCCTGTTGCTGAGCTCATTTTAGCCATTGTCAGCTGAATGCAGCAGTTACCCACTTTTTTTTTCTTAAGTTGTTTTACCCTGTTAACTGTGACATCCAAAAGTGAATTGAAGGAATCTCTTCTATTACAATAAATTATTTACTCAGAAATTGTAAAAAGATCAAGCAATTGAAGAATTTGAATCCGTTTTGAAATAAACGAACTCCTTTAAAAATCCTGTTAAAAGATGCAGTTATTAGAGCCATGATCTTGGGTAGTGTTTTTCTCTGAAGGCTGAAGGAAAGTCAGAAAAGTTGGTTAGTGGTTTTAAACTACCCATTGCTGCGAAAGGACAACATACCCAACACCTGTTCTGGCTGTATTACTGCTGCTACAAGCTGATAAGCAAACGAGAGCAGTCCTGAAACACTGAGAATGTGATGCCAAGAGCAAGCCAACCCTTCCCTGTGCCAGGTAGGATAGTTCTTAACATCACCAGGAACAGCACAGAAGCTATCTGATCAGATTCATTTTGCTGCTCGTTCTTCTCACATCCTTGTCACTCTTAGAGCAACACAAAAAGAACTCTAAAGGTCAGAAGGAAAAACAGRCTGTCATTTTCAGTGGTCCCTTTATCTTTGTCCCATACCTATCAGCTCTCAAGAGCTCTCCCTTTGATTTGTGGGGGTTTCTCTGCACATTGAGGACATCTCATCAGAAAACCTGGAAGTAGCATGGCTTTGGTCTATACTCTCTCTCATGGCTTTGTTCCCTTCCAGGTGGCATTATTCTAGGTGGTGTGCTGGCAGTGAGACTGGGAAATGACTATACTGTATTCACAAGGGTGCAAACCTTGTTCCCGTTAAGTTCACTGCCAAAACTCTCACCGTCTTCCTAGAAGCAAGAGATCCTAAATTAATGGAACTCATTTTGCTGATTTTTGTCACCAACGTGTCATAGCCTAGGGTGGAACCTTAGTCAGGGTGTGACCTAGCTCCAATCTGTGGACCAGAGAGTGGCACTGGCATTCTGGCAAAAGAAAAAAAAATACATAAAGTTTATTTATGTTCTTTCTTTCACTGCTGCTTTGGATGTACTCAGTAAACTTCATCTGCCTACGGCTCCTCCCCCACTTAATGAGGGAGAAAGCTTGGTCAGCCGAATCCTTCAGCTGGGGCCTCCTGGGACCAAATTCCTTGGGTAGGAGAGACTTGAAACGAATTGATGGATGCTGACCTCCCCATTCTTCTCCTCCTTCTGCAATATGATTTTTATGTCATTACGCCCATGATATTGTCCCTTTCTATGATTTGAAATTTCGTATACTTAACCTTTAGTAGACCATTTTTTTTGACTCTTGTGGTTATGTGGTTTTGTTTTGGTGGTATGTTTGTATCTTTTTCTTCAAGTACTGTGGCCTTCATTTTTGTTTTGGCATGAGATCTTCCTAGTTATGTGCTTGATGTCTGTAGCAAAGCAACCTGGATTTGGACAAAAAAAAGAATCTACTGTAAATTTTAAAACTTTTTTTTTTGTATTGAGGGCTAAGTGATCAATAAGATATACGTTGGATACCACCAGTATAACAGAACATGACATTTATTATGTACGTGATAAACTGTGTGCGTAATCTCACTAGAGAAGTGTATATACAAATATATTTATATTTTTTCTCTTATTTCTAAGAATGTGTATAAATACATATACACATATTTAAATATAGATATATGTACACATGTGTATATATACTATATATATACACACACATATACACTGACACATATATTGGCAAATGTTAGTAAGGAAACAACAAGGCAAGTTCTTATCAAGCAATAAGACAAATTTGTATCTCCTATACATTAATTAAAAAAAAAAAAAAAAAGAAAAAAAAAAAGAAAAAATCATCATCTCGGATTTTTTTTGTCATTCCCAGAGTGTAAATCAAGAATAAATCCATTGGAATCTGTAGAATTACGATGAATAAAATTAGCGCGGGATGTAAATTGTCCACTGATTGCAATGAAATTATCCTGGTCTGCACTCGTGTGAGATTGGAATTTGTCCCACTGTTGGTATTTGTTACAGTAGATTCTCTTTGAAATGAAGTGGCACAGCCTTACCCAGACAGTAGTGACAGCTAAAATGAGCACATTTTTTTTTAATGAATTTGCAAACCAATTTTTCCACATAAGCACTAATATCGTAACGAATGTCCTTCGCACCGTAGAAGGAGGTGAATGCACTTCTCATCTTTTTTTCAGCACTACCTGGTCTCTGTAAAATTCTCAGATGTGCTAGTGACCTATCACTTTAGGATTGCACCAAAGTATTTTAGAAAACTAGGTAGAATTCCAGGTCACTTTGTAGCAGACTGAATAGAGTCGCTGTTAATCCTGTCTCTTCCTCTCTCCATGCACACTTAATGCGCTGTGTTGCTGTGCCAGGCCTGTGATTGTGGAGATTCCCCATTTTGCCGCTCTGCGTGGGAAGGAGAGAGAGCTGGTGATCCTGCGCAGTGAGAATGGGGACAGCTGGAAGGAGCATTTCTGTGAATACACTGAAGATGAACTGAATGAAATTCTGAATGGGATGGATGAAGGTATCCAGCGGGATATTCTCTTTTTCTCATTCTACTTTCTTTCTACAGTTGGAAGAGATAGCATTCAACTATTATTATTATTATTATTATTATTTAAACACTTCACATGTGGTCCTCCCTGAGAATCTCCATCGTTACATACTCCAGATATTTCGTTTCGGTTACTTTGGAGCATAATCATTTCCTTAATGGGCAAGCTAGTGTAATCTGTCACTGTACATGTACTTACCTCCCTTGCGTGATCTACTGAAGCACCAGAACAAAACAAAATCTGTTATCATTAGCGGGAGAAGAGATGCTAAACTTTTTTCCTGCCCTCTTTCACAGTGTTGAAGGCTAAGTCTTAAACTCCCCTCAGTTAGTTGAGGAGTCTTGTATTCCTTGCTTGATTTCTCTCTCTTTGCCGAACTTAAGATACTGGGACGTTACCTTTGATTTCTAGACAAAGTGCATCTATAACTTGCAGTTAATCTGGGAAGATCTTTGTCATGCCTTTGAAGGTCATTTGTGTTGCACACGTGAAATTCTTGTTGCTGACAAGCTGCTCTTTTGCTTCAGTGCTTGACACTCCCGAGGAGCTCGAGAGGAAGCGGATCTGCCGCATCATCACCCGCGATTTCCCGCAGTACTTTGCCGTGGTGTCCCGGATCAAACAGGACAGCAACCTGATTGGACCCGAGGGAGGTGTGCTGAGCAGCACTGTCGTCCCGCAAGTGCAGGCAGTCTTCCCAGAAGGGGCCCTAACGAAGCGGATTCGTGTCGGCCTCCAGGTACAGTGACACAATTGCGGGGCTTATCTTTCCTTTCAGAGGGCAGAATTACCTTTTCTGTGCTTGCAACCTGAATATATGGCTGATCAAGTTGTACACTGCTGTCTTGAATATTTTTAATTTAAAAAAAAAAAAAAAGAAAAAAAAACCCATAAGCAGTAGGGTTATTAGCACAAGTGGTTGAGTTGGGTATTTCTTTTTTATTCTTTTTCCTTTTTTTCTGTTACTGTGTATGTGGACTTGAGTAAAACAATTTTGATGATGATACAAGCATAGGTCATAGAGGAATTTCTTAAATAATTTTCATGAAAGAGGAATTTTAATTTTCATGAAAAACATCAGAGAAGTAGGAAGTGTTGTAACCTAGTTACTTGAGGTGCAGCTCCCCACCTCCATTCCTACCTCCCAGCAACATGCATCCACATCTTGCTTTAACTCAGCTGTTTTGCTTGCTGAATTCCTCTGTGGACAGCTCACAACCACTGCTCAGAGGTAGTTCTGGAAGAAAAAAAGAGAGAATCAAGAGAATAATTTTCTGCAACTTTAGTGAGTTAAATCAATCCAGTAGTCTAACAAGCACCAGGGAAAAAGGGTGCATATAAAGTGCAAAAGATCAGCAAAGGAAAAGTCTTCCCTTCTCATGCGCAGTCAGTTCTTCTGTATGAAGTTCTTCATAGGAAATTGTCCTGTTTGATGGAAGATCTTTAGGGTTTTATGTCAATATCCAAACCCAGTTCTTTACATATTCATTAAACTGTTTTCAAGTRACTTACTCTCTTACTGTCTTTTGCTTTGGCAAGGCCCAACCTATGCACCCTGAACTTATAAAGAAGATTTTAGGCAACAAGGCTACCTTCAGTCCTATAGTCACCCTGGAACCCAGGAGAAGGAAGTTCCATAAACCCATCACAATGACGATTCCTATTCCCAAAGCTTCCAGCGACGGGATGGTGAACGGTTACGGCGGCGACACGCCCACTTTAAGGTTACTATGCAGCATAACAGGTAGGACGCGTACGCCAAAGACTTTTTTTGTGCATCTTGAAATTGAAAAACATTGTGGATTTAACATGTAAAATATCAAAGTATCAATCTGGTATCAGATGYGTTACAGGCTGAACTGTGACCATGAGTCGTGGGGAGGTGAGATTTCTTAGTGGTATTAAGTAGGTGCTGAAATATCAGCAATAATATCTGGTTAACAGAGAGGTGTTCACATTTTTTTTAAAAAAGAACGATCTTATTTAAAGTAAGGAGTCCCCTTTCTGAAGAAGGAGGGACCAGTAAGTCTGTTGAGAACCACTCGAAAACTTGACAAGGTAAAATATTTCACTGAAGGGGAAAAAGTGTATGTTTTTTCTTCCTTTTTTTTGTTTGTTTGTTTGTTTGTTTTCCCTTCTTAAAAGGGAGTATTCTTTTAACTGTTACAGCTTGGTTTAAGGTATGCATGAAGACTAAGCCGTGTCTTCAAGTGAATATCTAACATGACAGCTGTGAATGAGAAGAGGGAGAGACACATAGTGATTCTGATGTAGCTCTGGTAGATTAAATGCAGATTTTCCTTCAGTGCTTAAATCTTTAATGAATACTTATAATTTTTATTAGCAATAAATATTTCTATTTCTGTTTTCAAGAAGGTTGGTGTGATTTTAAGGTAACTAGAAAGCAACCAAATGCAAGGTTGAAAAACCTGAAAAATAATCTCTACCCTTCATTTCAGAACATCTGAAGGGTRTTAGGTTTTCAGATGTATGGGACAGATAGAAAGCTGACAACATCAGACTCAAAGAAGGCGGAAGTATTTAATAGACTAGAAATGAAGATGATAATAATCAAGAAGGCTGTCTCTTGTACAGAAAATTTTGGAGGTGCACATTTCAACTCCAAGATCTCCCATGAAGCTCTTTTTTTTTTTTTTCCCCTCCCCCACAGGTCTTTAACGCGAGTGARAATGTTTTAACTATATGTATATACGGGTGCTGATTTTGCTCTGAAATCTTTTTTAAAAGTAGATTATAGGGATCATAGATTGTAGTTGTCATTATGGGCAACAGCACTCTTGTTGCCCAAGTGCATCATTAAGTGTCTCTGGGCTGTTTTTTCCCCATATCTATGAACAGCGTAGAACCAACAAAGGTAATCAGGGGCGAGGGGGAGTGGGGAAGAGAAAAAATCTTCCCCCAAAATCTCAGCCTCTTTTAATATCTCTGGAGCTGTGCTACAGAATTCTCCTTCTGAAAATCACTTGTTTTCTTGTCAGCTTCTTGTGGGAAGCTTATACAGTCCTATTAGCACTAGCAGCGTAATGCGGACAAAAGCAGAAGTCAACATTTGTTGATTTATAAATTCCTAACCATGTAGAGTAATCCTTAGAAGCAGAAAGGCTGGAGATGTGTCTGCCCTTAAATACTTCYATTATCATTTCAGGAGGAACCACTCCTGCTCAGTGGGAAGACATCACAGGAACTACACCACTGACATTTGTTAATGAATGTGTTTCCTTCACAACAAACGTGTCTGCCAGGTACGAGTTRTATRCTGTTGCTTTAAAGTGTATGCTGCCTTTTCCACATACGTTTTATTTTACAATACATCTTTACATTTTGTTTTCAACAAACATTTATACAGCAGAAAGTACACAGATACTTTGTCTGCTTTGAGAACCAAAGGCAAAGTATTTTGGAAGCTCTAGTCCAAAACAACTGCTGAATGAAAATGTACTTGCAGAACATTAAACCCACAAAGAAATCTAGCAACTATACCAAGCCATGATCTAGAGGAGTCTAATCTTGCAAAGAGGTTCAATTTCTGACAAGCAAAATTTAGAGGAGGAGGAGGAGAGCAAGTAACAGTAGTTTTATTGCTCAGAATGACTTATGTCACCAAAATGCTTAAAAATCTTGTGATTGCTCTCCATGACAGGAGATGCAGTCTGTAGCCTGAAAAGGTCGTGTTTAGGGTTTGCAGTCTTGTAAACCTTGGTGACCAAAGCAATTATTATTATTAAGTTACATTTGTTACTGAATCTAATAATTTATTCAATATCAAAACAAGTTCAACTCCTATAGTGTGAACTATAATAAAATTTTCATGTTCCTGTACTTACTCAGGTCAGAAATTCTGTGCTTACGTACATTTTCTGAGCTCCTTCTGCGTCCAGGCAAGCATTTCTCTTTAACAATAGTGACYGTGAGAGGGAGATCCTAGCTCTCCTCAGTAACCTACAATAATCTGCTTAAATGCGTAGTTTAAAAAATAATTTGGGAAATAAGTGTGGATTCAACCCATTAGGGATATTATTAGTGGGTGTTTTCTAATATCCATGGGGACATTTAAATTGATGATGATTGCCAATTTATGTGCCGCAGGCGTGGATTACATATCTTCTTTTTAATCCAGATAAATGCTCAGCTGCATACTCGAATCCAAGGCTGATTTTAAATGCCCTGAACGATAGCAAATGTGGTTTTTCACGTGTTTGCAGTCAGAGAATTAAGTAACTTCATTGCTGAAGGACAAACTACCTTGAATTTCTATATTTGTGCTCTGATCTAAAAGTGCATCTGCTCTTTTACCCTTGTGGAGAATCAGCTCTTCACTATAACTTGTTTGTGTGTAGTTGAAATAATTAAAATAACAATGCAGAACTTATTTTCCCATTTGGAAAGAGCTTGGGAAATGGATAAATTTGTTTAAAATACATGCATATTAAACGTGGGCCTTGAAGCACAAYTGGCTTCCATTTCCTGAGTTGCAGCTTTATGGTAATTTAGTATCCGTTTTGATTTTTATCCCCTGCTCTTTGGCAGCAACTCATTTTGAGTATTTTGGTCTCATCAGAGCGGGATTGTAGCCTCTCTTGTTTCGAGTCCAGCATGATATACTTTCCCATGTTTTCACAAATTATCAGTATCCAAAGCCTTTACATATCAGACTTTGCATGACTTTCAGACGTCACCAGCCCATTTTTTAACCAGCGTGTTTATTAAATGTTACAAAGAGCATGAAATTCACTTCATTTCGTTATTCAACCACTGATGAGTAAGACCATAGACATCGCATTTGAAAGATGTTTTGTGGGATATAATACCACGTAATCTAGAGTAAGTAATAAGCTCCCTGTAGGTTATACCAGCTTTAAGGTGTCTTTGACCTCTCATGACTTTGATCTCCATCCTACGAGTGTCAAACTCGAGCATGCTTTCCACCTACACAGCAAACTGTGTTCAGATGAAATGCCAGTAGCTCAGGAGACAAACATAAATGAAGTGATAGCTGTTAAAAAAAAAAAAAAAAAAGAAAAAAGAAAAAAAAAGGGGGGGGGGGGGAATGCAAGTTGTTCATTGTAAAATGGTTGATACATGCTGCTGCTTCATTTTGGGGTGCCAAAAGTAAATGTATTTTAAATGAAAGTTGCTATTTTTTCAAAGAACAATTCAATCACCTTTACAAATTATGTGGAAACTCTACCAGTTTTTGTCACTGGGCAATGTTGTCCAGGCCCAAAGAAAAAAATCAAAGATCTATAATGCAGTAAAGAGGAGAGTCCTTTTGATGAGGAAGGTTTGCCYGTTGTGGAAGCTGAAGTTTTAGATCTGGATTCCAGCATCCATGGTATGTTGGAGGAGCTCCTTCATGTCTATTCTCTTTGGGAAGCATCTACTGTGTGCCGTGGCTTGGTCCGGTTCACGTGCACTTAGCAATGTTTTGTGAGAGGTGGGAGTTCATTTATAGCAATTATGAAATTTTTATTTAATTTTATTATGTATTTTATTAATTTTATGATAGCAATTAGAAGTGGGACAACCGATGGTGTTAAACTGGGCTGCTAAAGTGTTTTTTACTGCGCATGTCTCTCGTGGTGGTACCCGAATGAGGTAGYGGTGAGAAGCTGCTTCTGGCCTCCCTCCCTGGGGAGGGCAAGACGGTCACTTAGTGCGGTGGCATCCGCGTGTTGCTTTGAACACATTTTCCGTGTGACTTGTGCTACGTGTGTGCCAGACTGGAACCTGTCGTGCAGAAGATTCAGCACAGCTGCTACAGTGATGCTGTCAGTAAAATGCCATGATAGAAATCATTATTAAAAAGGAGTGATCACAGCCCCTGTGAGTCAAAGATAATAGAGATCAGATATGGACCTACATACTGTCTGGTTCTTCATAATGTAATACTGCTAAAAAACAGAAATATGCTAGAATATTTCTAATAGAAGTATGTTGGTGTGTGTCTGTATACGTGTGTGTGTGTGTGTGTGTGTATACACCAATCACTGTTCTTCAATATGCATAACGAATAAAATTACACATCCCTGACTGAATTCACATAGTCTTAATTCCTGATTTCTCCTGTTGAATGCAGTAGAAAACAATGGACTAAGCTACGTAGCACACCTCGAAGACGCCCAGTTCAGTTTGTGATGCTGTGTGCTGCTGACATGTAAAGTCAATGGTAGAGGAAAAGCAGATGTTTTGAGCAAGACCGCTTTATATTTGATCCCTCATTTGTGGAGGCRTTAGAACAAAATCTTGGTGTGCTGCTTACACAGTGCTTCATTTTTCTTTTACAGGTTTTGGCTGATAGACTGTCGTCAGACACAAGAATCCGTAGCTTTTGCTTCCCAAGTGTACAGAGAAATTATCTGCGTCCCTTATATGGCCAAATTTGTCGTGTTTGCCAAATCACACGATCCCATTGAAGCACGGCTACGGTGTTTCTGCATGACAGATGACAAGGTGGATAAAACTCTAGAACAACAAGAAAACTTTGCTGAAGTTGCCAGAAGCAGGGATGTAGAGGTACAGTACAAGAATCATGAGCAATTTTCTCTGTTTTATAATGTCTGCTTTGAAAATAATAATGCTTCCTAATATCTACTAAGAGCTGAAAAATAATGGTGCATAAAGTATACCAAGCCTATCACTTAACAGTAAGAAGCAGACTCTGACTTTGGTCAGATGCAGGGGAAAAGGTGAGCAATGACATAGGAATGACCATATCACCCTGGCAATTGCCTATAGCCAAACCCTTAGTCCACAGGGCTGGTAAGGCAGTTGGCTACTAAGTTACCTCTATTGGGATTGCTGCTTTTCCTGGCTTCTACGGTGGAAAGGGACGGTGTGCCCCACACAAAGGGAAACCTGGTCATCTGATGGTCAGACACTAGAAGGGAAATTCCCTCATGGGTTTTGGCAGAGCGGTAGATTTGCTTTCGCCATAGCATTACTGGTCCTCAAATGGGAGCTCCATTGTATCCCCAGGGCAGTCCTCAGTAATTAAAAAAGTAGGCTGCAGGATCCAAGGAGATATTCTGTGTGAAGAGGGACTAGTAAAGTCTGAGCTCTCTGTTGAGAGCCTGAGACCTGGAAGACCTATAGGATGAAAATGGATTGAATGGATTGAAATGATTTTTTTCTTTTTTTTTCTTTTTTTTTTTTTTGTAGACCCATTTGCCATTTTGTCTAGTAATTTCATTTTTTTTTCTTCTGAGAAATAGCAATGAAGGTGAAGGGTGTGAAGGGTTAGCACTTTTTACAGAAGTTTAAGTTTCTTGGTCCTCTGTTGCCACAGCAAGCATTTCTTTAACTGAAGAATTCAAATTAGAGCAGCAGCTCTTCTAACAATGTATGACGGAGTCTGTTTTCACCTGGGAACCATATCAGCATTTTGGCTGTTCTAATTGTGTAAGCACAAAAGATAATTTTCTCTAAGGATTTGACATAGCTGTAGAACGTGGCTTGGGTTTTGAGTGCACAAGATGAAAGGAGTCACTGTAAGTGGACTTCTTGCATCGGGTAGCATAAAACAAGCTCTGTGGGTGCAGACTAGCCTGAACTTTAGGTCAAGCATGAAGTGGTCAATTCTTTGGTGTTCAACCAGACCAAAGAACCAGACTCGGTAAAAGGTGCAGTCAACTGAATGACAAGGCTGAATTTTTGTAAAGTAATGTGAAGGGAGATAGCCCCAAGAACCAAAAAAAAAGCAAAAAAAAACCCCAACAATCCAAAGAACAATATCATTACCCACATGTTTCAGAGGTCTGACTTCCATATGCTTTAGGCCTTTACAAATACAACTGAAATGAATAGAAGCCATCATTGCACACCCTTTCCCTGGTGCAACAGATTGTTGCAAGTAGATTAAATATAGACTCGAGATTTTGGATTAAGAAGGTCCTCTGCAATTCCATGACAGTACCTGCCAAGTTTTTAATCCTCATAATCACCTGATAAGCCCAGGTGAGCAAATGACGTTAGGGATTCATGACACTTCTAAATGCTGTGCTATGGTTGTTGAATTAACAGTATACTCAGATTGCAATGTGGCAATATGAAATGTTTCCACAGACTCCTATACATGTGCATGACAAATTTGGCAAATGCTTTGACAGAAACCACTGTACAATTATGATTAAGAAGAAAYCCAAAATGTAGCACTGTGATTTAATTGTGTTTTTTCCTCCTTTTAATTTCTAATAGGTATTAGAGGGAAAACCCATCTACGTTGATTGCTTTGGCAACTTGGTGCCCCTAACGAAGAGTGGACAACATCATATATTCAGCTTTTTTGCCTTCAAAGAAAACAGACTTCCTCTCTTTGTAAAGGTAATGTTTTATCCTGAATCCTTATGGCTTATGACTTTATTTTTGCCTACTTCTCATTTTTCCTTAATCTTATCAGGTTAAAAACAGTGTCCTCCTCCTGACAGCCCCTGCCCCACCTTTTTTTTTCTTTTTTTTTTTTTTAATAAAAACAGTTATTTTTGACTTGAGCAGTCAGAAAAAAGAGATAGTTGGCAAAACCACTCCAAAGTCCATGGTAGGGGCAGTCTGAAACATAGTTAAAATTTGATCTAAATATAATTATCTCTCTGCACATATATCCACGGAATTCTTTGAGTTTTAAGCATTTCACATACCAGGAAGATAGATGATACCTCCAGGAATCCTCCTCTTTTTGTATGGTGAGGTAAACCCCACCCATCTCAGCGGTCACGTGTCACTTGGATGATATTTCTTGGGCAGCAGCTCAGTGCCCAGAGCCGGTCCCACTGAGGTCTGCRGCAGCACCAGAGTGCGCTGCAGGTGTCGGGCCGCCGTCCCCTGCCCGTCCGAGAGCGCGTTTCAGAGGGTTTTTTGACCCTCCTTCCACAAACTTTGATTTTCTCCTATTTTAGGACGTCATTTCACAACAAAGTACTGCCCCTTCTGGAACCAAGCAAAACAGATAACAGAGGAGTAGGATTTTTAAATTTTAACTTCATTTATCAACAGAAGCTCATTTTCTTGCATTTGCTCTATGATGCAAGGTGTCCTTTAAACCCTTCTCTTTCCTAGCAAAGTTTGGTAGACTTGTTTTAATTTAGAACGTTATCTCCGCCACCAATTTCTGGCTTTGCATATTTATCATCGTGATGGATGCTCCACAATAAGCTTGAAAACATGGGGGCTTTGCATAAAGTATTATGGACTGATATAGGTAACATACATGTATTTAAYGGTATCATTTTATCAGTTTAAGAAACTAAGGATGAAATAATGCTTTTGAATGTATTTATCCTGTGACATTCTACTTAATTACTTAATTCTTACATTATATACAAAAGCTACAATTACACCAGGAGCATCCTAAGTGCTTTTCCTTTGTTTTTTGGCTAACAACTGTGAAATTGGGATATTTTTAAAATTTGTTATAAAAATTTATAGTATATTGCACTGAAATACTATTCTTATGCTTTAGTGGTCACACTCACAGACTTATTTGGCAAATTTCTTCTTTATTGGGAGAGGGTTTATGAACACCTTTGCAAAAACCTTTTGCAATARAGACAAAAACTTTAGAGTCCTCGATTATATAACATTTTTCAGTCAGCCACAGCCAACATAAAAGACAAATCAACAAGCACAGTACTGCCCGTTTAAACTAGGGAGTTTTTCCTAGTATCAACCAATATTAGGCAAATGATATTAATTATTTTAATATTAATGAATTTGCATTTCCTAATATTAATATGCATTCTTACTATATGGGAGGAAATGGGCTTACCGTGTTTCTTAACTTATGAGAAATGAGACTTTGTCATCACAAAGTTTTGAGACTTTGTACAAAAAAAGGTCTTGTAATTTGCCATGAAAGCCCCATTACACTGTAACTTACGTCTTCTTTAAGATGACATTACCCATGACTTGTGAAAATAAGTTTTTAGTATGTATATACGTACGTGCTTGCGGTTCCTCTTGCCTTGACGCACAATTGTATTTGTATTACCTTTACAAACAAGTAGGAGAAAAACTTGACCAAAACTGTGTCGTGCATTGCTACTCGGACTGTCCTTTCCCCCAAATCTAACCTCTTTTTGCCGAGCAAGGTCGAACAGCACAAGTTGCTGGCAGCACAGCAAGACAGTGGATTCGATGCCTGTCTGTCTGCCCCGCTAGGTACGAGACACCACTCAAGAGCCCTGTGGAAGACTGTCGTTCATGAAGGAGCCAAAATCTACGAGAGGCCTTGTTCATCAAGCCATATGTAATTTAAACATCACTTTACCTGTTTACACAAAGGTACTGTGAAATTATACTGACCTTTTTRAGCTTGCTTTTATGTATAACCATCAGCACTATAACATAACAGGTAAATAAGTGCAACAGAGGCTTGGTTAAGATGTTTTAAAGAAGATGAAATACTACTCAAGGGATTTTTTTTTCTCATATTTGATACTGTTAATGTCAGGCTAATGTCATATGTGCTTTCTGAGGACTCCGAGATGACAGATGCAGCACGAGTAGATGAAAATTTAGTTGGTACTATGTAGCTTCCACAGCTTGGTTTGATGTTGTGCAAGACTTATGCTAATCTTAGTTCCTATACAATTTTTACTGTAATTCTGTTGAGGGATGAGACATGTGGAACTCGGTGGATACATATAGCTTGCACTTTGGGCTTTGCCAAAAGCTTCCTAAATGCCTTAAACCTGTTGTGAGTCTTTGCTGGAAAGGAATTTAGTGTTCACATTTTTCTGTAAGACAAACATCTGTACATGATCACGAGATTGTTGTTAAGATATTTGCTGTACCAAGACATGAAGTACAGAAAGATGTTATGCTATCATAAAGGATTCGATAGTTAATGGGCTACACAATAGCATTTTCAGCTGACTTGCAGACCTTATTTTTTACGGTTTGYTTATTTCAGTTAGTGACAAAAACACAACAGAGGCAAGCTCGAGAATTTGGAAAGGAGACATCAGCTCCCAAAATATTTCTCCTCTTTGGATTTTGATATTAAGTTGACTTTTGGCAATGATTCTTTCTTTCTACGTCTGATCAAAGAATCTAAGAAAATGTCACACACTATAAATGCTTTTTCTTTGGCCTGTCATCACTAGGCTTATTAATCTGGAGAGAAAATGGTTCGGTCTCAAGGGCAGGAAAGTGTGACAGAGTTTGGTATGAGTTGATACTTAAAAATAACAGGCTTGAGATCTCATAAATCAATAGGGGGTGTCCTTGGTTTCTGTTGGGTTACTAAAAGCTAAATAGCTTCTGTGCAATTGCATCAGATACTAAAAACTAATTGCTTCTGTGCAAGGAGTCAGCTGATTGACATTCTGTAATAAAGAGGATTTTTGTCCTGTCTTTGCCAGTTTAGAGCTGCGTTGCCTCGCAGTAATGTAGCGGGTTGTCGGACCAAAACCATGTCAGTCGTTCATTCTTGCTAACAAAATGCTAAGTAAGCCCCGTGCGCCAGACAGTTGTGAACTTGGAATGTAATTKGTGGAAAATTCTGGTTGTGCTGGGTTGCAGCATTCTCGTGTTTATCATATTTACACTCCAAATGGATAAGTTATGCAACTATTTAAAAAACATTATTTATGGATGAAAAAATATGCACATGTTTTAAATCTTCRTACCGGGAGCAACTCCTGTCTGTAGTCTGCTTGATGCTGCAGCCTGTTGCGTTTCACACTGTCAGCTTAGAGTTCGGTCACTTTGGACATAAGAAATCACTTGCACTGCATATTGTTTTCTGCTAAATGTTCTGCATTTTGCTTGCTCTGTTTCCTCCTCTCTCTGTTTGCATGGCACTTTGGAACTGAAAGGAATCAGAATCAGATCAAGAACAGGAAGAAGAGGTAATTTTGTTATAACAACATGTTACTGCTTATGCATGCTGCTCAAATAGAGCTAGAATATGCAGTTTGAAAGGTTAAATCTGTAGGAAAAACCTATAATTGTACATTTTGCTTTTAAAACCATTTTTTTACTAAGTTCCCCCTCAACAGTGAGTTTCCCTGCTGTGATGAGGAACCTGTGACCAAAAATTTTTTACATTTTTATATAACGTAAAAAAACCTAGCACTTTGCTATGCAAAAAAAATAGTTATAAGTTTAGGCTTGGCCATACAGACAGGCAGAGGTCTTGAGCCAGCCGTGTTGGACTCGCTTGCTCTTGATGCTCCCGCACGCTCTGCCCAGCGTGCACCCACTGGTGCCTTCTCTGGAGGGCTTCCAGGCCCGCCTGGATGCCACCCTGTGCCACGGGCTCTAGGTGACCCTGCTGCAGCACGGGGTTGGACTGGATGAGCTCTAGAGGTTCCTTTCAACCTCAAGCATTCTGACATGAGGGGGAGAAATAAACCCAGAGCAGTGCAACAGCATTCCCTGTAGTGCGATARCTTAGGGTCATCTCTACTGCCAGTACCATTTATAAAAACATACCTTGCAACATTTTGTATCTGCTGTTAATTATAACTGCTGCAAACTAATCACTTTCACCTTATTACAAATACTAAATAAGCTATACTTACTGTTATCTTAAATAGGCTCTTTTCACTTGAATTTAACGGCAGTCTGTATCTTCATGTATCTATTGCATCTTTTTGAATTTGTCTCTTCTCTTACAGGTTGAAATGACTTCAGAAAAAAGTAAGATTTCTTCTGAAAATGTTATAATGCAGTTTGTATGAAAGCTGGTTTAAGTGTAAAGATAAGCATGAAAGAGAACTAAGCTTTAACAGCTGTTGCTAATAACATAAATATTTTAAAAATGTAATAGAAAAACTGCAACACCAAAGCAGCTATCCAGCTAAATACATTTTAATGTATAAATTAATAAGTAATACACTTACTTTCCTTAGACATCCCTAGTGATCCTGCTATTGCTACTTTGCTTGTATGATTACTCATCCCTCCATATTTTGTTTTGTCCATATGTTGACACATAGTGTTGCCTTATATTTCAGATAAACGACAGTATCATTTTTGAATGAAAGCAAAACTAACATTGCCTTGTATTCCCTCAAACTGATGAGATGCAAGCATGCGGAAAAGTGATACTGTCCAAAGTAATCAGGCTGGCTGTTTAATTCCCTTTCCCTCCTTCCCCTGCCCTGCCCCTTACTGCCGTGAAATATGACTGGATGTTAAGCTTGGTATAGATAGCCACTGGATATACAGAATCAGGCAGTTAGGTGGTGCACAGTGCTAAAGAYGATCCCAATGAAGATACAGAGCAAATATCTGGTCCATTAACAGTACAGCAGCAAATGAGATGTTTAGAAATGGAAGTTTTTGTTTGTTTGCTTAAGAAAATAATGACCTCTGTTTAATTTAAAAACCAAGTAAAGATTATATATATAAAAAAGTAAACATATAAAAATCAAGTTTCTTGTTTCTTTCCTGCATTTAATTTTGAATTTATTTGTTCCAACTGTAGTACTTTCCATTATAAATGGAAAGCTCCTGAAGCTCCAATGCATTCGCCATGGCACTATAACCTCCTTCACCTAAAATAAAAGGGCTTTGAGTAAAGAGAATAAAAGAGGGGATTGACAGATAGGCTAACACTGTGGTAGGGATGAATGTTCRCTATGTTTAAAGATAGAACCACATTTCACAAAGAAGATGAAATTAAAAAAAAAAAACTCTACCTGCTTACTCTTTATATGAAGATGCCTAGTTCTCTCCAGCCAGCAAAGCAGGAGATGCTGCATGGCAGCCTGGTGCTGGGGTCCAGCCCTCGCTGTCACACGCTGGTCTCGACCGGACAGAGGACTGAGCTAGAACTGCGGGTTGCMCTTGCAGTACAAGAATGAACACATAAAGGGAAAAGCAAGTCCGTTATGCAGCTKCTTCTGTTTAGGTTTCATTCCTTTTCCATTCCTGGAAGCCCGAACAGGTGCAACAGAAGCGTGAAGTGTTTCCAAGGAGGGCTAAAACTGTACCTACTTCACTGGAAAGACATAAGTGCTGGGTGCTTGGAAGATCATAGATGGGGGCTGAGCTCCTGCTCGCCTAAGTGCTAGAGAATACACTTAGAGCCCTTGTGGCATGGAGCATCCCCACTGGGCTCCCTCCGTGGAGCTTACTCATACTGCTGAAGGGACACTGCACAAGGGACAGTACTTGGGTTCCAGTTGTACTCCTCAGTGGCAGCAAGGATCCATATGTATACCCCTGCTGTGAGACTAATGCCTTACAGAAGGGGACATGCTGGGCTGAGCTGATCCAGATGGCCATGCCCCGAAGGGAAGCTGTGGGCACCGAGCGGAGCCTGCCGCACACGGAGTGCAGGAGCRTGGGGCTGGCCCTGAGGGGCAGCTGGGAGCAGCGGGCACAGGGAGGGCCGGCCCCAGCCCCCTGCGYGTGCCCTCGCACAGCTCCTGCTCCYGGYGGCAGCTGCAAGGAAGAAATTTGCCCAGTGTGTGCGCAGCACGACCCCAGCCAGGGCCAAGGGACGGGAGGGCCCCCCTGGAGCTGAAGCATCAACCATCCCCCCACCAGCTCATGCCCCSCAACGTACAGCCGCACCTACAGCGCTACCCCCTAAAAGTGCTGGCAGAGACTAGCTGTGCACGCAGTAGCGCGTGTACGTGACAGGTAGAGAGAGATACAGAAACACATTCAGCTTTGGTGGGGGGGGACATAAATCCTGCCCTTTACCTGACAGGTAGATAAAAGGAAACCCAAGCATACTGTGGAACAGAGAAGCATTACAGTGGGTTTTTTTTTAAATAAGAGCAGGTCTCTATAATACATAATACGCTGAGGAAGTATTTGATATCTACTCTGAAATGTGCTGTGGTGTAAGTCAAAGTGTTCCTAACCCCAATAGAAGAAAAAAAAAACAAAACAACAAAAAAAAGATAATGGTAAAGGTTGTTAAAAAATTTTAAAAAAGCATCRCATACTTCTAAAGCATCAAATACTGCTAAATATACAAATTCAAAKAGGATGCACATACATACAAACTAAATCTTTTTTTTGAACTAGCACACTTAGGTGGATTTTGAGAAGAGGGAGTATATGTTTTAAAGTAGATATAGTGAATTTACTAAGAACCTGTGAGAAACCTGTGAGAAATCATGTGACTTATTATTCATAGACATAAAAACTATTAATGGGAAAACATGAATATGCCAAAATTATAGCTAAAAGTCATAGATAGTGTCATAGATTAATGTTCATTGTCAAAAATAAATTACTACAACTATAAAATATATAATTGTGATTATAAATATGAAATATAAATAGAAAAGAAAAAAATCTCAAATATGCATACTGTATTATATATCACATCTATAATACAAAAAACATAAAAAATAGTTATATAAAATATTATCTCAGCTATACTTATAAAATACATAGTGTTGTTTACATTAAATAAATTACATAATATGWTAAAAAAGATTGGTGTGCTAATATAGGAGATGGTTCCTGTTATACATGAKGCAAATTTTTCTGCACAATTGTGCATGGTCATAATGCAGCCACTTGGGTGAGAGGGACACAGTAACGTGACTCTTGGGTGCCTGGTGCCTGCAGGGGAGTTCTGGACATGGTGCTGAAACCACAGAGACCTGGTCTGGAGAGAATTGTGGCAGAGCCCCTTCCTTCCTTCCTTCCTTCCTTCCTTCCTTCCTTCCTTCCTTCCTTCCTTCCTTCCTTCCTTCCTTCCTTCCTTCCTTCCTTCCTTCCTTCCT